CGGTCGTGTACTGGGTGGTGGTGGAGGAGTGTGTGCTCATTGTTGGTATGGTCCTTCCTGAGGTCGTCGTCGTTTCTGATTCTGTTGGAGTGTATGTCGTTTGTTTTGTTGTAGTTCTCCTTTGAATATGTTCTGTTTCTGGTGGAGCCGTTGATTCTGTCGTGGTCTTGTGTTTTGTCTGGAAGTGTGGTGTTGTTATTATTTCTGTAGATGATGTACTCATAGTTGTTGAAAAAATTGAGGTAGTTTTTGACTTTTGTGTCGTTGTTTGGGGTGCTGTAGTTTGTTGACATGGTACTGTTACATTTTTACAGCATTGAAATCTGACTTTATAGTTATAGCAGATTGGTGGTAGTTGGTCTTTATTGTAGCATATCAACCCTTCTTCTGTATTACATGTTATGTGTTGCTCCAGAAGTGGATATGGTGTATCAGGAAACCTTACTGCTCTGCATTCAACAGCCTTTCTGTTATCACAAATTTTGTATCCCTTTTTTTTGATGTTCTGAATTGTGTCAAAATCTCCATCATCGTATCCGGACCCTGGATAGCTGACATCATACCACATTGTCCAGGAACATTCTTCTTTCATGCAATGCGGTAGTGTTGAAGGAGAAGTGGTAACGCTTGTCGTCATTTCGGTCGTGCTTGTGGTTGTTTCTGTTATACCTGAAGTTGTGAATGTTGTACTTTCAGGAGTTGTGGTAACTTGTGATGTAGTAGTTGAAAATGATGTTGTTTCTTCAGTTTGAGTTGATGTTTCTGTGCTCTTAGGTTCTGTTGAGGTTGGTGTTGGTGTGCTAAACTTTGTTGTGGAAGAGCATGGTACAAAAACACAGCATAAGATTCTGATTTCATAGTTGTTGCACATGGTTGAAATTTGGTCTTTGTTGTAACATATAAGCCCAGTCGTTGTACTGCATTCTACTTTTTGGCCAAGGTCTTTCAGTGGTATATTAGGGAATTTCTCTGCTCTGCATTGAACAGCCCGTGGAGCTTTACAGACTGCATAACCCTTAGCTCTCAAATCATCAAAGGTTTCAAAATCTCCACCATCATAGCCAGGGGTTTGCAGACTCCCATCATACCATTCTGACCACTCACAGACTTCATGAACACATACTGATGTAGTTGGTGACACTGTGAAAGAGAAACAGAGGAGCAACAAATCTTAGAATAAATTCTTGTAGATTTTATCTTATTATATTAAATGGGCCGAGAATTTTCCTTTGCTTGCATTATGAGCCTGTAGTACATCAGTTTAAGGTACTTATAATTTAATATGAAGTAGAACAGAAAATCCATCACACAGCAATTTCATGTACTGATTTGCTTGGAGCTGTAACTTCCCGAGAGAATGCCAGTTTTCATTTACAGAGTGCTGAAATAAGTCTCAGGCATAATTTATAAAAATTAGGCAGGGGAAAAAGCTCACATCTTTTTTTGCATCTGATTCAGTGTAATTGCTTGGTTAGTATCTTTTTTCCATATTTATTAGTCTCTGTGGAATGTCAAAGCCCAAATTCAAAACCAGTGGAAAGAATAGCATTTAGTCTATGCATCAAGATTCATAGGTTCTTTTTTCTTCCAGATGAGTTGACTCCTCATGTAATATACTGCATTGTCTTTGATTCTCCATCTGAAGTAAAAGATGTCTAATGCAGAATTATTAGCATCCCTACACTACTTTCTACTTTAGCTCTGATCTTAAGAAACCATTATTGGTTGGAGAGCAGTCCATAAGCTTCTGGAGGTGAATTCTCATTGTGAAATGCCTCGAAGAAGGCTAATGAATTCCAGCAGTTCTGAAGGTTCCAGCGATTTCAAAACTTGTTCTAGATTTTATACTGAATACTTGTTTCATTAAACAACATATGCCTATAGTCACTAGCGATTACCAATCTGAAGGATGTTGAACAGCAATTCTAGAAATGAAAATTTAAGCATCTCAATGCCAATATCTGAGAAATCCTCTTATTACTGTAATTACAAATACCATGAACCCTACCAGAGATTTTACAGAAAGCAATCATTCTGTAGTTTAATAGGAAAAATAATGAATTACTCCTTCAGTAAAGATTATTCCAGGAATAGAAATAGTTACAATTACAGATAATAAACCTGATACTGTTTTTTATTGTTCACTATAAAGATAAGCAAAATAATAGTATGAAACCAGGGTGCAGTGGTTTCCATTTCTGTGTTTCTGAAGTGTTTTTATTTTCTATATTCATTTCCTTGTGTTGATTTGGTTACCAACTACTGACTTGAAACCAAATGTTAATAATAAATGAGACTTACTGTCATTTATTTTGAAGGTTTCATTCATTTATGCTGTAAATGTGGGCATAGTTTTGTAGCTATATTTTACTCAGTGATGAACAGTATATGCTCTTATGGGCTATAAAAGATGTACCTGTGGAAGTAGTGACGGGTGGTGTAGTGCTGAAGTGAAATGTCGTTGCTGTTGTGGGTGTTGTTGAGATTGGACATTCATAGACTACTCTTTGAAGTGTTCCATTGGGGCCACAGGTTGCGACAATACACCCTCCTGTGCCATCTGTAGTATTGTAGACCACATCTTCATAATTGTATATCTTTCCCTCATAAATGCAGACACATTCTGTAAACCAAAAGAGAGTGTTATTCCTTGGTATCCAAAACGCAGAGCAGAATACCTCAAATGCATCCTATTAAAATATAACCAAATTTTTCAACATACCATGTTCATCATATTTGCATGTTTTGCCATGATTTGTGCATTCGCTGGAAAAGAGAAAAAAGGAGATAATGAATGTGAATATATTGGTTCATTACATAATTTTATTGTTTCATTTTTTTGTCAGTCCTTTGCTATTCATTGTGTGTTTAAATATAGAAAGACATTTGTCTGAGTTAGATATTCAGTTCTGCTGTACAAATTCAGATTGGGTAGTATCACTCAATTTTCTGGCAAGAAAGGCAACTCTTCTATGCCAGCATATTAAACATGCAGTATCCTTATAGGTGCTTCTGGAGGCTGGGCAAATATGTGGGAGGGGTGATGTGAAATGTTCTTATCTCCCCGATAGGTACACTTAGCTTTTGGAGAGGAAAGTGAAGTTAATGTATCATTTGAGAACGAATCACTGTATTATGGGTGTTGAGGTTGCCTATGCAGAAAGTTTCCATCAGACTTCCAAAAGATGCAAGAATGCATTCTGTTTTTAAAGGGAATTTATCTATTATCTGTTAAGAGCTGCATCTTGATATGTTTATTTAATAAGGGCATCTGTACACTGAATGAACTTAAGTGAATATAAATGTGTATTTAACAGGTTAGGTTTAGTGCTGTTAATGACATAGATGATGCAGGCAAAGCATGCCATGAAAGTTGGGTTAGCTCAGATGGGCTTTGTGCTAAGCTGTTTGCCGTTCTGGCTGTACTGCTTACAGTATTCAAACGTAGCTACTTTAAAGGTATCTTAGGACAGTTGTTAACTGCTTCACAACTTGTTCTGCTAACTTTGTGCTGTTTTCTAGAAGGCTTATCAGAACTTGTCCCAGCATGTCATCAATTCTGACAGAATGTGTGGGAATACTTGCTGACAGTTCCAAATACGCAAGTACCAGTGCAATAATAGAAACAATTTCAAAAGAATGAAGATTAGTTGCCTACTAACTTCTAAAAAATTTTACACAACTTTTTTAAGGATATCTTAATACAAATTCTCAGGCTATTGCTGCAACTATTATTATTATTTAAAATTGTTTTTATTTAATTCAATAATGATGATAATAATAATTTTAAAATACTTTAATAAGCATGCAGAATAAGTAACAAATTAATTTCTCTATGGTAAAATGTTTCACCATGTCATCATTTAAGTTCCTGGGAACAGAAGAAAATTAGACATTATTCAGCAGCCTATGACTGGCCTACTTCTTGTTTGCAAACAAAATACTTAATGCATGATGAATTGTGTTCCACAACTTCAAGCTCAACATTTAAAAACTTTTAGTAATCTTACCATGATTGACAGTTCTGCTTTGAAGGCATCTGCATTCCTGGTTTGTAATTTTTTCCATTTTCATAACAACCACAATTAGAAACACAGGTCATGGTTCCTTCATCAAAATAGGGCTTATCCTTTGGACAGTGTGGATAGCAGCCTTCAATAAAAAATGAGAGTTACGGTGACACTAGGCTTTTCACGAGGCAAAGTAACTCTATACTCTGCTTATATCTGTTTTCTCCAAATTATCCCATATGGTAAGTGGAATTTCAGACTCTGTTCCTGCTATTCCTTTGATTGCACGTTAAGCTTTGGAGCATTTTGTCCTCATCTTCACTCCAAACAAGTGTATGATCCATTAGGGAGTAATACTAATCAGAAAAATATCTTCTTTTGGTTTCTAATATAAACATATCAAATAGAATATAAACATATCAAATACCGAGTTTTATACATTTTGTTAACTATATTGCATTTTAGCTTTTTATAAGTAGAATGAGATATGCATAATTATGTTTACCTTCCAAACCTCTCAATTCATGAAGGCACCTTCCGCTTGGATTATTGCAGGTCTTCATGCAAGGGGCTCCACATGGCTTGTAGTGCCACTCACATTCCCCTTGTGGATTGTAGTAATCGCAGAACAGAGCTAGAGGAAGAAGAAATGTTAGAAGAAGACCTTTGATCCTTTTGCTCTACAAGCTTTCAGTTTTGCTGGGTAAAAAATCCCATGTGATAATTATAATCACATAGGTGGTGAACAGTGTATTATTTTATTCCTAATTTATTACAGTTGTTACACTTCTACCACCTTTTGACATCAATAAAGTTATAAAGCATAGAAGAGAGTTATATCTGGACCGCTGAAAAATCAATTAATTCTATCACTTATTTTAGCTAGTATGCACTAATATTTATTTACACTGATCCTGATGTAAAGAGATGAGAGTGTCATATAATAGTATAGTTCAGCAGTTGTATATCATGATTGGCAAGTAAATCAGACACTAATGACACCACTGGTAAAGTTACTATCAATGATTTCATTTTAAGAAGATAGATTGGCTTCCAGTGATTTACCCAACTTGCTTTGTAGTGGGTTTTTTGTTTTGTTTTGTTTTTCTTTTAGAATACAGCAGCGCATCTTAAAAATACAATTTTATCCTTCTTTCTTTCTTTGTTCTACTTATTTTTCTTCCCCCCCCCTCTTTTCTTTCCCTCTGAACCACTTCAAAAAGTACTAGGGTGAGACTCACGACAAATGGATGGGGTTCTCCATGAAATGCAGATATCCAGCTCATTGCATGCTTGAGCATAGGCAGCTACTGCTGTACAGAAACATTCACAGTCTCCTCCAGTGTCACAGGCACAAGCATCATCCACGCATGCTTGGTAATATTCATTTGGTTCAACCTGTTGGACAGAACTTTTGAGTTTTCATGCAGTTGTCCTCTTTGAAAAGGCATTCATTGCCCTAAAAAATCTGAATAAAATATCTGAAACTGACAGCTCTCTATGTGTGAGAAAGACAAGAAAGAAACCATGAGAATGCTTTGAGAAATCAAGTGGAAAATGTAGGATAAAGATATTAGTAATAAGTCATAATGCTAAGAACTATTTCATGTTTAAGATACATTTGCAGAAAGAATATTGTTACATTACGACAAGCTAGTACACAGTCATATATATCAGGTGGCTGGTATTTATATTAGTAGAAAATGATGCCATTAGAAAAGAAGAATATCCTGAGATTTACCTGTGTTTATCCCTTCTATTAAATATCAAAACAAAAAAACAACTATCAATTTCTTTAGTTCACTAGTTCAAGGCACATGCTGAGAAAATGAAAATGAAAATACTTTCTATGCAGTCTCCCTGGAACTTGGTCTGACTTCACTTTGTCAAGCATGACAAAGTGTATTAAAATTAGTGTATTTTTCAGCTATCCCACATGAAAATTAATGTAATGTCTGGCTCAGGACAATTTAAGACTGAAGGTTTTTATCATACCTGGGAATGACACTTTGCAAACACTTCACTGGTAATGATGCTGCATTGCTTCTGTGCCCAGGCTTTTCTGTATGGGTTTGCAGTGCATGGATCCTTGGTACGATTGGCATTTGGGCAACTGGAAGACACTTTCCAACTGTTGGCAAACTCTAGCACATTTCCTACCACAGATTGACTGCGAGTAGTGAAGTCATTATTTCCATTACCATCATAGTTTCCACAAAGTCCACAGATGTGTCCCTGCATGGGGATAAACACAAAATGGCAAAGATCAGTAAGGCACAGTTTCTTGGTATCCCCAAGTAATGGACCTCAGAATGAATCTTATTTGAGATTATCTGGGCCTCTTCGGTAACAGTCCTGGGCATTTTCATAAAATACCTTCATAACGAGATATGTCTAACTTCTCGTTAGGAAGGATGAGAATAAGAAGCAGATTAGACTCATGGTTCTTGTTCTTAGTATTGAGCTAATTAGTTTTATCTAATCCTGAACATACTTCTTCAGTGAGAGCTTTTCATGAAGAAAGCTACTGATGTCATTGCTGTTATGTCATTGCTGAATAATGTAAATTAAGGAAAATGTGTAGTACCCAATCCAAGTCAACATTACAAAGATAATAATACGCAACAGCTGCTCTTTCAGTCTTCTGCTTACAGCCTAAATTTCATGTTTTTTCTCTGACAGATAACATGAATATGTTTCAGAAGTCTTTTTATCCAGGTTTTGGATTTTAAAATGTACCTGAAAGCTGGGACTAAGTTTGATGAACATACTGGTTTTCTTGTCCCACATGAGTATCAGGCCAACAGCAGTGTCAACCACTAGGTAGATGCCCATGGAACGAATTTGGAATGGCATTTTTCCTCCAGGTGTCCTCTGGATGACATCAGAGTGTCCATCACTGAGTACCAGCTCATAATTCTAGGAGAGGAAAATAAAAAGTTAGAGTCCAATTTAAAAAAATTACCTATTGGATATAGTTTTGTGTATTGCCAGTAATGGTTATTGAATTAATAACTTTATTATCATTAAAATTATTCTATTCAACAACCTCATGTTAAGCAATTTCTTTTTAGAGTTCACTCCTTTGCTTTCTCTAGCAGAAAGTAGAATCATTGACAGTGAGCAAAGGAGTATAGCAGCATTTTCACTGTCTTGGAGGACACTTCTATGATGTGGTCTATCTAGGACAGCTTGTTCTGTCCTTCTGGCACATTCGACCCAGGGTACAACTTCTCAAAGAAATCACTTACCCCCATGAAAACTTTAATAGACTTAGAACAGGTGGTTCCTGTAGTGCCACATGGAATGTTCTCAGTGATGACTCTGAAAGTTCCCTGATTCATACCTTGTTGACCACAGTAGTTCTGAAACAGGGGAATGATAGTCAGTGTTAACTATGATACATGGTCATATGTAAAATGGAAGGCACTTTGACAGTGTAAAAATCTGGGTAGGACTCTGTTACCTGGACCAGAACATATTCACAGTCTCCTTCAAAATCAAAGCGTTTGCCATCAAAAGTGGTGTAATGCCCATCTCCATAAACAGAACAGGTTTCCAGGCAAGGTTCCTCAGAGCAGTGCCATTTTCGGTTTCTACATGTGCTACATAAGATGAAAAGCACCCCAAATGTAAAAACCACCCATACACATGAAATAGCTATAGGTACATTCCTGCACGTACATCAATCTGACTTTAAAATGTGTTAAGCTTATAATGAAAAAATAAGGTTTGCTTATTCTCATTCTCATTTCTCAGAAATTCAGCATAGTTTAAGAATCTTCGAGATTTACCCAAAGACTGTGTTACTTCATGATGTCATGAATAATTTGAGTTAGAAAATACTTTCTCATTTCCAAATCTTGTTGGATGTATTGAAATGTAGGGATTGACTGCAAAGAAAATATTAATATGACAACATCCAAACCATATTGTTCTTCTGACTACTTGCAATCTCTGTGCTGTGTGCCATTGTAAATAAAACAGATAGAACTTACTTTTTAGATACTAAGTGGGTCATGTTATATAGCATTCCTTCCTATAAATATTGATCCTGGTAGAGTGAAATGCTGTAATTCACCTAGAGCTTAAACTATTCCCTTTCAGATGCTAGAAAATAATATTTTTTAATATGGTCTTACCAGTTGTTGCAACCAACTCTGATCGATTCTCCTGGACTGTAGAAATTCCCATTGTGAACACATGGGCAGTCTTCTGGAGCTATACAGCCACCTTTGCCATCTAACACTTGGCTATGAGGACATACACATCCAGAAATACAGTGGGTTTTGTACTGTAAGGACCATATAGAAAACATGACTTGAAACATTTCCCTGATGGGAGAGTCCAGCTGCAGCTGGTAATTGTAAGAGAGATCTAGTTTAATATGCTTTCAACTCTGTATTAATAAACTGTACTTACACATTCCATATCTAGAGTCTGACAGCTCTTCTGGCATCCTGCACCTACCACATCTGCAGTGGCATTGCCACAGTCAATATAGACCATGGGAGGTACACAAACTGAAAGAGAGAAAAGAAATGAGAAATGTGAGATCAACCATGTATTTATATCTTTGTGTTTCTTTAATGCAAACTGAAGGGAAAAAAAAGACTCCTTTGTGAGATACGTGCATCTTAGTATAGTGCATTCCAGAAAGAGGAACTGAATGTTGTTTTGAAATCATGTTTATCTGTTTTTTGTGGTTTTGCTGACCTACTTATAGAAAGTAATGTTCAGTTATCTTTGTGAAACACTTCCTTTCAGGGAAAAAACAAAACAAAACAAAACAAAACAAGAAAACAAAAATCCTGGTTTACTTGGTATTTTTTCAGACTTTTAGTGCTTTTATTTTATTTAAGATGTGGACAGTTTTTCCTCTCATTCACTGACCTAACTGTTCTTTTTCTCTGGGTAACCCAGGTGTTTATAACTTGTTTCAACCGTCTGAAAGCTAAGACACTATTTCTTTATATTTTGGGAATATCCTCTACATTACAGAAATCATCAGTTCATTTTCTTGTTTGATTTCAGACTTGTACAATTTGCATCATTGTAACAAAAAAAGAGAGAACTGAAAAGGGTGAAGATGGAGAAGGAGAGTTAAAGAATATCTTAAGTGACATGTTACCTGGTTCAGGTTTCTCTCCAATGCAGCTCAGCTTTCCGTAGGTGCAAGTGCTATTAAAAAAAAAAAGAGAATGGTTATGGTTTTTTTTTTTATGCTTTTCCTTGTTAAATTTCAGCTTGTTTCCTAATGAATTTGGAATAATGAAAAATTACTGTGTGATAAAACAGAGAAAATGTGTCCTTTATCAGGATAGTTTCTACTATTAAAAGATATTTTATGTTAGAGCAAACCAAGTTATAAGTATACAAGGTAGGCTTATACAAGTGTAAGTATACAAAGACAGGTTTGCTCTGTCCATTTGCCTGGTTAAAAACTGTCCTACAGAATAGATTAGATTCCATTCATAATGTGAATTATCTGTAATGGGATCCACAAGCATCTTTAACCATGGAACAAACCTTTTACAGTCATGGATAAGAAAAGTACTTGTGGTGGGAAGTGAGTAACTGGGTTGTAGTCTGGCTGTTAGCCAAGGCTAACCCAATATAGTATGTTTTATTGAATTTCTGTAGTAATCTAAGTACAGTCTTCCAAGTACGGATAGCCCTAACTACTTTTAAGGATCTGTGATTTTTTTTGTATTGAAATTATTAGGGAGAGAAATGCATTTGATTTGAATAGATTACATGAATGTATATATGGTTTCACGATTGCCCATATCCAGTCTCATTCTTATCTTTACAAAACTCTTACCAGACAACACCATTATCATGAATAACTTCTCCAGAAGAGAGAGGCATTCCTTTGTAGTAACAAGGACATGTAGAAGCAGGCACGCATTTGCCATTTTCATCCATGTAGGTTCCATTTATGCAGGTGCAGCCATCAACTGGGACAAACTTGATGCTGCATGTGACATCAGGCTCACTCAGAGACCGGCAGGTGGGTTGACAGGAATCAACATTGTAAGTGTACTTCAACGATTTCGGACACAGGCTGGTGTATTTTGCTTGAGAGCAAAAAGGTGAGTTACATTCATAGTTCATTTAAGAACCAGTATAGGTACAAATGCAGTATTTCAGGTAAAGCATATATGATAAACTTGGCAATGTGTGTACATGTGCTTTACTAATATCCTTGATAGTTTATTTTTTTTTGGTACTGCTAGAGCAGAATTTTCCCCCATAAATGTATAACAAATACAAATGTTTTGCCCATGTTATTGACAGAAAAATGTTCAGTTATATTAATGCATAGTGTGTTTTTTCTTCACTGCTAATTTTATATTATTTCACAAGGTAAATTGAGAAACATCCTACTACTTTTATTCCTATTGCAAGGCTATTGAGGTCTGTGTTGCTTCTGCTGGCTCTGAGCAAGTAATCTAACAAAGCCTTTTCTTATATTTCTCCCTGCTTATTGCTTGTCTTTTATATTATTCTCTTCCTCCTCAAATTCTTGAAAGTCAATGCTCAACTTAAAACACTATTTAGCACAATTTACTGTGAGAATTCCTGAAAGTTGCTGTGTGGTGTCTTCTTGGGTGACAGTTTTCACGAGACATACTTACTGCAGGCTTTGCTCCTCCATCCAGTGAGGAGAACTCCTTTAGAAGCACAGGCCCTGACATAGCTGGAAAGGGCAGCACACATGCAGTCCTCACTCTTCTCACAGTTACACGTGTCAAACATGCAGTTCTAGGAACAGAGGATGAATTTATGATCATCAGGTTGTCATGTGAAAGCCATGGCACTCTATACCTTTTAGAGTGTCATGTTCGTTAGAGCAAAAAGTGAATGTAATCTATGCGCATAAGAAACATACGCCTGTTTTTCATTTGAAGATTTCATTGAGCACTTTCAAAAAAGAGTCTTTGCAAGGAGAGAGAATAATTAGAGGTCCACGATTTAAAACTATTTTTTTCAGATGTTGATAGGTTTCCCAACTACTTCCAGTTTGTAGCCACTGTGCCATATATACTTAGAACAAGTAGAGGGTATTTGATGCCACTCAACATTTAGGACATAGGCTTAGGAGCTTGGGCTCTTAGCATCAGAGGAATGAAGTAAACAAGAAGTCATTTAATGTGTTGCTATGCTGGACAAGATCTCTATAATATTATCATTCCAGAAGATGTTTGTTGAACATAATCTTACAGATTTCTAATAACAGGGAGACTTTGTAAAGTCTCCAGGCAGTCTGTTCCAGAGCTTCATCACCTTGATTTCCTGGAACATTTTTGTTCATGTCTTATCTAAATCTCTTTGCTGCTTCCTACAGACATTTCTTGCCTTGTCCTTGGATATATGCAAATCCTTCTGAAAGCAGTTCAGAGCAACTAAGCAAAGTGCTAGTTAAGATTCTTTCTGTATACTACTAAAACTTTCTGTATATCTCGGGAGGTACAGCTTTTGTCCTTTGGCTCAATAAGGAGTCCAGGGAGTTCAAGCTCCTATCTTAGGCATTTACATTAGTAGCTAAAAATATGGGCAGTCGCAATACACCTGTAAATTTTTCCTCCTGGGAATGGAAAGAAAGCTACCTTTACAACAGAGTAAGTATTATGATGTGTAGATAAAAATGAACCATTGGTTTGAAAAGAACTGTAATGAATGCATCTCCTCCCAGTTGGCAAGTTATTCTCTCAGGTGTTAGTATCAGAAATCTGAGCCTTTCTATTTTAAATTGGAAAAAGTTAAGAGCCAGGTACCTTCTGATAAACTTCTGGATTCACTGTTGAATGACATTCAGCAAAAGGTCCCATGGTATCAGAGAGCAGTCCACACCAGTGCTGAGCATACTGGTCTGTGAATTGAAAACATGATAAGAATTTCTATTGCACTTCGTTGTCTAAACTCTTGTCTCAATGCAACTATACTTCCTGCAGTGAAATTGTAGAAGCTTAACTTTACAATAAAATTCAGCTTTGCATTTGCTGAAACACAAGCAACTTTTCCCTTCCTCTATGCAGAAATATGAACTCTTCATACACTGGATGCTCTTAATTCATGGTAGTTGTCGTGGAATAAACTAAGACATCCTTAGCTGGATTTTGGAAAAGAAGGTTCACATTGTGAATTAAAAATATGTTAGTTTATCACAGAAAACAGAAGAGTGACTTGTGAATGCTCAAAAATTGTGTATTTCCATGGCTGAAATGGAGCCTAGGAACCTGAGAATCTGAGCCTGAATTGTAAGTCTGGTTTTTGTTTTAACAGTGGAAGGACCACACTGAGTCCAGCCTTCAGTGGAAACCTGCACAGCCTTTTTCCTATGTGACAGTCAGTCCTTTCCAGGTATGGATTCCTGAAGCGCTGTATAGTTCCAGTTCCCCTTAAGTTGGCAAAAAAACACTTGCTTTCTTTATCCAAATGAATATTTTTGGAGATCCAAAATACTATTCTAGTAATTTTTTATTAATTGGAGACTTCTAGTGTCAACTGAGGAAAATAGTGTGTGCAAATGGTCCGCTGTTATTTTGGCTAAATACTTGGTAGTTGATCAGTTTATTCTTTCTTTCCATCTCAAAACATAATAGAAGAGATTATTATATACTGAGCTTACCATTTTGTATACTGACAGTGCAGGGGTTCTCAAAAGTATTTTTGGCATCAGGACAGTCAGCCCGAGTTTTCCAAGTATTGCCAAAGGCAGCTGAAGTACCCTCTATTACACCACTGGTGGTTTTGAAATCATCTGTCTGTATGTCATTGAAATTTCCACAGAGACCTAAAAGGAAGCAGATGGGCTGTGAAAGCCTCTTACAGAATGAAGTGTACTGATTAAGGTAGTTGTTATGAAAAGATCACTTACCACAGGTCTGCCCTTTATATGATGGGTCTAAGTCTATAAAAAGTTGCATGAGAGGCACGAGCTGAACCTGTAGCTGAAGACCGAAGGCTGTTTGCAGCATGATGAAGAAGGACGATGGTCTGAAGATGGTGACATTTGCTAGGGACGTAAGAACATGAGAGCTGTAATTTCATATGAGATGAGCTGCTGAAATACCTGTTCATTATGTAGAGGGATTCTGTGTTTTTGATATGATCCTAATTTCTGAAGAACTGAGGGGAAAAAATGATCCATATAGAATTTCAAATCTAACACCAAAACAGTCTGTGTGTCCCCTAAACAACAAATGTATTAAAAACCTCCACTTTCTGTTAGGTGTATTAAATTAAGGGAAAGAACATACAATTCTTTCACTATTTAAAAGACCACCTTTGCTTGATGAAAATGATTCAGCATGATTTAGTGGTAGGGTCCAACCTGGACCTGTTCGGTCCTTTCATTGTTTCCTTTCTGTTCAGGTGCAGTAGTATCTGAGAAGAACTGGCGTGAGTGAGAGACACTCTTTGGTGATGAATGTGTACCAAGCAAAGGGACAGAGGGAACATAGGGAACTAAACAACTTGAAATATTGGAATCCTGTTGCATATTAGAGTTCTTCGTTCCTCTCTTATGGCAATGTTTGAATCTGGAAGCATGTAATTATGCTATTTGCTCAAGTTGAACCTCCATTTAATTAGATATGGCTAAAATTAGACCATAATTTTGCTAAAATTCTAAGAGTTGAATAGGCAAACCCTATTACTTTTTTAAAATGAGACACTATGCTCAGTTGGAGTACCTTGGGTTTGCCGCAGTTTAACCAAAGTAGAATTTGGCTTTAGATTAACCAATGTAAAAACATTTTAAAGTAAAAACTGACAAATATCACAGAGGTCTTCCAAAGGAACTTACCTGCAGAGAACGGCAGCTGAGTGTAGATCATATTCACAAATACGCTGCCAGAAGGCTGGATCACAATGTTCTGTCCACGAGAAAAGACAATGATTATCAAGCATATTTAGGAAAGGTAAAACACTTTCCAAATATTTTGTATCTAGTATTGTTCAGTATAAAGGAAAAAAAAAAGTAGGGGAAGAGAGTGATGATGTTCTGATTCCAATACTTTAATCTTTATTGCTATGGTCCATTGACTCTCAAAATAAACAAACAAATACCCAAAGATAACAGAAAAATAACTAGGGTCTTGACTTCCAGTGCACCTACTGTATTCTTAATTTTTCTTTTAACCATGCTCAAATGAAAAAACAAAAGAGCAGTGCAGATTTCCTGTCTGTGTTGTCATGTGTCATTTGCAAACTACTTGTTCATGTCCCTGCACAATGTTAGGTGTCTATATTTGCTACTTACAGTTTGTCCTCCACTTAGGCTGATGGCTATACCCTTGAGGCATGTCTCAGTGTCAGTCAGGCCACACTTGTGGATATCTCCCAGAACAGTGAATTCATTGCTGTCACAGAGCTAGAAAAAGAAAACAAAATATATTGTTAAAAGGATCTGTTATATTAAAATATTATGTTAAAAAGGTTCACACGCAAATGGCATTAGTGGAGTGAGTCTTTTAAAATATTATTTATTCCCTTTCTTCCTATTCATATGTTCTTACATATATATACACAGTCACCCAGTAAGCTGGCATTTGTGCAATCTGCCAGAGGAAGCTATCCATTACTTCTGACATTCAAGGAAGAGTTAGATGCATTAAGCAGACAATGAAAACTTCCTAATGTTTAGGTAATACTAGTTTAATATGATAGAGAAGAAGACGAAGGAAGTGTGCCTTTCTTGATCATTGGTTATGGTGTTTACCTGGGAAAGGAGAGGAATTGTTTTCAGTCTTTTCTTTACTGAATACATTATCAAAGAGCCTAGTGATGTGGACATTTTTTAAACAGGTAGGAAATAAGCTTTTAAATATCCTCTCATAGGAGAAAATGAAGATAAAATCAGTATTTGCTACTGAATAAAGGCAAAATTCAGTTTTTCTCTTGGTTCTGATTTTCATTGGACTGTGTTTTATGAGCTTCAACAAGGCCAAGTGCTGG